TCTTCATTAAAGAATTATTTAAGCTCTATCGTATATTGGTATTGAGCACTCTTCGTTCAATTACGGACAACAAGAATTATATATATATATATATATATATATATATATATATATATATATATATATATATATATATATATATATATATATATATATATATATATATATATATATATATATATATATATATATATATATACTGGACCGATCGATTAAAGGATCTTATATACTTAGTTTTTGATAACTGATCATTCTGAAAGATCGGGGGTGGAAGATGAATATTGCATGAATACTGTGTTTTGAAGTAGTGTGAATATGAATATTGATGATTATAAATATTTGAACCCAAAATTTTAATGAATTCCCACCTCAACCCTAACCCCTAACCCTAATCTAACTTTTTTAAACTTTTTTTGAAAATCTAACTTCTTTAACTATTTTTTACTTTTGATAGCTTTTTTACTTTTTAAACTTTTTTTGACAACAACCTTGTTACTAGTTGTTTGCAGATCTGTAACAACTTGCGCGTTTGTAAAAAGTGTGAAAAATTTAACTTGAAAAATTTAAGCAGAACTTCAAAGTTTCGAGCAAAGCCTCTTCGTCGCGAAGTTAGTAACCAGACGAGGAGCTTTCGCTCGAAATGTCAACGTTCTGCTCATATTTTTCATGTAGTTGTATATCCCGAGTATATCCTTTACATCCCAGCTCTCATAAATATGAAGAATTTAGAATCATTTATTGTCTTTTTTGTCAACAATTATGTTTGTTATATCATGTGCAGAACCAGCGAATTAAACCAACAACTATACCAATATACTATAGTACCTTTTCCTATATATAGTGTAAAACCACTTATTTATGCCATAATTAATCTGTGTTGGGTACTATAATCTCAACTTTAATAATAAACAAGATCAGATTGTTGGGATATAAAACCGAAAAAATTATATGTGTTATTTAAAAACTCAATATAATTTCCAAGTTTACATTAATTTCAGATGTTGATGAATGCTTGAATGGTGATCCATGTGGTAGAAACAGAGCTTGTGTGAACACTAAGGGTGGTTACGAATGTATCAATGCAAGATGTCCAAATGCTTACTTCGTTAGAAGATCGACAACGTAAGACTTGTTAACATGCATGTGACATGACCCAAATAACTTCAGAATTATCTAGCTTGGACATGCATGCTCATGACAGAATAGAAACAGTCTTTCAACGTTTCAATTAAGTCAGGTTATTAGGTTTCATTACTCTGGATAGTTCCAGCTAGAACTAACTGTTATTGAAGATAAGTATAGTTCAATTTTATCTGTTTTAGACATTGCACTCGCAAGGCCTGTCAATTGAACGATGTCCCATGTCGCAGTGAGACGCGCAAATCAATTCGTTGGCACGGTCGTAGTTTACCAAATAATGCAGGACCTGGTGCCTTTTCTTACATGTATAATATTACGACTACAGGTATTACGACCTCATCACTATAGCTTATTCCTACTAAGCAATGTTAAGGTCATTATTGTTCAAGAGCTGCATGTGATTGAATCCCCCCCCCCCCCCCCCCCAACTCCTCTGTACATAGGCGTACTGTGGTGATGCTTATCTTTAGTGCACCTATATACAAACTTGAAAACTACATCTTGTTGCCTCTCCTGCTGCTGTAACCAGGCTGTAGTTTTTTAGTTGGTATATGCGCAGAAGAGATGCGCAGACAGTGGCATAACTCCTTTCACCTCACCTATGCACCTGCTCTACAGACAAGCCTGTGGTTGAAGCTCTCAAGCTCCTTAAGCTTTTAGAAAGAACTCACCTAGCTAAATGCTTAAACTGCTTTTTAGGTTATAGAGTTAGGCCTCTGGTTGAGTTCAGTATAAAGAGAGGTGATGCGGATGATGCTTTTGAGGTAATCAAGCTCGGTTACGGGAAATCTCACATTAGAAATAGAAAAATTCTGAGAGGGCCACGTAGGTATGTATTGGAGTTCGCCGGTGAAGTGATCAGCAGCGGGCAAGTTACCGCAAGTTTTGTCACCTACCTTCATGTTTACGTCTCTAGATATGATTTTTAAACAAACATTAGTAAAGGTCTTGTAGATTGACTGCAATCAACAAATATAAGAAGATTGGTAATCCAGTTTCAATGAACAGTGCAAGAAAACCAGGTCTAAAAGTTTATTGGATAAATTTATTGAAACATTAATTGTATAACTGTGTCCTTGATAGATATATAACCTTTTAGTATATGTAACATTGTATAACTAGAGTATAAATAACAAAGTGTGTTCTATATATTGAAATACACTCGTTTTGAACTTATGAAAATGCTACGAACTTCTTGAAATTTATGTTTTTGTTGAAGACGACATGTCGTGACATGTCGAGGTATTTTTGTGAGAATATTATTGTTGATAAATTTTTAGAGTCTTAACAGTCTTGCATGAAAGCAAAATAATGTTATATTTTTTCGAGTATCAGTTGCTTGCATCAGCCTATTGAACCAAGGCTCCTTCTACAACAACAAAATTCTTCAATAATGGTATCATCTTAAGTTCTTTGTATGTTTGCATGGTGATAAAATATAATAGTTTTGTTTGTGGAAACACCACGTAAAGTAATAGATTTACGTGGTGTTTTCACAAACAATAATTGCAGTAACTGACTCGTCCCCAGTCGCTTCAGTAACGCGCGCGTTGAATTACCCAACGCGCGCTGCCTCGGGGCATTCCCATGGTCCTTTGCGTTAGAAGCAGTGTTAGGGACTGTGGAAGAGTCAGTTGCAGTAATAAATTTACATGGTGTTTCCACAAACAAAACTATTAATGGTATCACCTTGTTTCATTTTCTTCAAATGTGTAATAACTCTAACTTACTACATGTTTCGCAAATACCATATAGATTTAATCACTTCATGACTTCCTCGCACCGCTTATAACTCTAATCTCCACTGCCATCAGAATTCAGAACACAATGGACCTTTAACCTTATAACTAAAATTTTGATCTAGACAAGTCTGGGCAAAAATTTCATTACAGCTTGAAAGAGCATCACAAAATTAGTAACATTCCAAAGTTTCGTTACGAAATGTTGTAAAATGCGGATAATATAGCCCTGCGAAGTTTGCCGTTTTTCAGTAATTTTGTATTACAAACGGGGAATTGATTCCCCAATCGGGTGTTGGGGTATCAATTTCCCGTTTGTAATACAAAATTACTGAAAATTGCAAATTTCGCAGGGCTATATTATCCGCATTTTACAACATTTCGCAACGAAACTTCGAAATATTACTAATTTTGTGATGCGCTTTCAAGCTGTGATGAAATTTTTGTCTAGATCAAAATTTTAGTTATAAGGTTAAAGGTCCATTGCGGCGATGATTTCTATGCATACGAATGACCCGAAAAACGTCACAATAACTTTGGTGCGGGCAAGGAAAAAGATTAGAATTAAACTTTTAATTGTTATGAGTTTGGATAGATGCCATGAATAATGTTCTCTGCCGCGTGAACTATGAAGTTGTGTCACAAATAATCAGCCCCATATTTTATCTAATAATATACATGAAAAATTACTCAACTCAAAATAACAGTGCAACAACGCCTAAACAAAAGACATTTTGAAGAAACTTTCGACAGTTGAAAAGTTGTTGTACCATTCAAATGAGTGAGTGAGTGAGGGGGGGGCATGTGGTGGTTTGGTTTGGATCACCATTTCACGAAAATTAGAAATAAAGTAACTAAAACAAGTTTTAACTGTGTAAGTTTTAACTTTATCTAGTATCTAGTGTATTTCTTTACCCGTTAGCGTATTTTACGTTTTCGGAAGAGCGTAGGGGAAAGAACCTGGGTACGAGGTTGCCTTTCATGTTGGTTATTTTCCTTTCGCCATTTCTAATATTATTTTCAATGAATATAAACCTCTGGAACAAGGGTATGTTTTCAGTAAAATTGCATTTCCCGCTGCGTCGTTTGGTGAAGATTTGACTTGCAAAATCCTCATCGGTTAATTAAAGAACAAATGTGTCACTGAACCATGTGACGGGAAATCATAAATATTCAATGTATAATAACTTTGCATTTGAGACTACGAAGAATATTTTAAAAGTTCTCCCACTCTAATCCCTTTCGGGGAATTTCACTCGCCCCAAGTGTTTTCAGTAAAGGAGATACGGGAATTGGGGGACCTCCCCCAGAACATATTTATATTTTTGATGCTCAGTCAATGATTGCATTTCTGGAATTTTCTGGAGCATCCACAAAGGAAACAAATATATTTTAAGGTATGTTTTAAATAGGCCATAACGCGCAAAAGTCCTGGGCACTAGTCTGAAAACACGTTTTCAAAAGCTCATAACTCAAGAACTGGAAAATCAAGGTAAGCGTTTAAATGTCTTATATATAGTTTTCGAAAGGGAAATCGAAGAAAAACGTTTTGGCAGGAGCCCACAAGAAATTTGAACGCCGCTGCCCGACTTTTTTGCATTTTGCCCGACTTCTCAAATTTGTTGTCGACGAGTTGAGGCCTGATGATCCAATTTGCCAATGTTATACTAAATAAGAGACTTAACTTTTTACATCTTTAGTTCTTGTCGACACAACTGCGAAATCGTAAATCCCTGTTCTCAGGAATTTTTAAACGGGGACGCATTTGGGGCTCTATGGTTTTACTCGCACGCGCGTGTCACACGCTATATACTTGGCCAATAAGAAGCGCCCGTAGCCGGAGGTTTAAATTTTCTAATTTCCTAAAAAAGTTTATCATGGGATGAAAAACTATGCTTAATTTAATATAATTATTGTACTCAAATGTGTTATGGGAGGTTTTTTCCTTTCATGTGCAACTTATGTTTTCAATTTTTCGATTGGAACTATTCCACAATGAAGTATTCTTGGATACTGCAATTTAAATACATATATGAAGACGAAGAAGTGGCATTTATCGGGACTGAGAAGCGACGAGGGCATTGCAATGGCGGCATATTTGACGAAATATCGAAGGACAATTGAGATCTTGCGATTGAAATCATCTTAATATATTAAGTTAAGCATATAGCTTTTCATCCCATGATAAAATTTTTTAGGAAATAAGAAAATTTAATCTCTGTCAGGTATATTAGTTATTCCATGCATAATTAGCAGTTGACCTGGGGTGGTGCATGGTCATTTTCTTGTAAAATATTATACTTAAATTTTTCCTTCAAATAATCACCCCTAAAAGCAACCCTTCTAAACACTATAAGCACTTCAGAAAGGCTTTTGCTTTTCGGAAGTTAGAGCTACGTCGGTATTGCCGTTTCCGGGCGGGATCATTTTCAGGACAGGACGTTCGTCCCGGATTCAGGTTTTGGCACATATGCCATGTTGACCGCCATGGTCATTTTACCCTAAAACAGTTGAGAGCCTGTGGTAAATGAAACGCATACAAACTCCTATACAGCTGCTAGACTTGAAAATAACACTGTAAATAGTGTTTTGGATATTGATTCGACTATTATATTGATAAGGAGCGTGTTTGGGAGGGAAGCGGAAGTAGAGGGCCTGGCTTGCGAGGTTGAAAGGGATGGTCCCAGGAGAAACAAGGGCATGATTCGCATCGGGTAAAGACCTTTTAACTGGACCTGAGTGTGGAACCCACGTGGGAAAAAACATGAACAAGCAGCGACAAAAACAAACCGACGACAAAGGGTGCATGGGAATTGGGGAAACATGGGCGGGAAGCTTGAAGCAGCTGATCGAGAACGCCTCGTTGCTATAGCTCTCATTATATATATTAACATTATATATTCATACAACAACTTGTTATGCGTAACAGTTTCTCTTAATTCCCGTGCTGAGTGGTTATATTAGGGGCCATTCACAAAGGATGTCCGGCCAAATGATGGATTTTCAGACCCCCCCCCTCCCCCCTTGTCCGGCATTGTCCGAATTAGTTACTCCCCCCCCCCCTCCCCCTGATCCGCCATGCCTGGCAAAAGCTCACGCAACCTTGTATGTGTCAAGAGTAAAAACTTTTTTTACTTTTAGAACTTTTTTATAACTATAAAAGTATATATGTGAATACAAAAACATATAAATTACTAATTAAAACAAAATATAGTATTAACCGCAAGTCAAAACGCCAATTTCACAGTGGGAGAGAGAGTTCAAAATAGAGGAAAAAGAAATTTGTTTTTGAATTTTTTTAAATTTCGGACATCC